CTAAGCTAAAGCTAATCTAAACATAAGGTAACGCTAAGCTGAAGCTAAGCTCAAGCTAAGCTAAAGCTATGCTGAAGCTAAGCTGCAGCTAAGCGAAAGCTAAGCTAAAGCTAAGCTAAAGCTAGGCTAAAGCTAGGCTAAAGCTAAGCTAACGCTAAGCTAAAGCTAAGCTAACGCTAGGCTAAAGCTAAGCTAACGCTAAGCTAACGCTAAGCTAAAGCTAAGCTGCAGCGAAGCTAAAGCTAAGCTGAAGCTAAGCTAAAGCTAAAGCTAAAGCTAAAGCTAAAGCTCCCAGGGGACTGGGGGAACCGCGGGGCGGGGACTGGGGGAACCGCCCGGGGCGCTTTCCACTGCCCGGCCCCTTTAAGCTAGAGAGTAAGAACCCTTCTAGGCAGAGCCTAGGTAGGGAAAAAGCTATTCAGGGAGAATCAGTCCCGGGGAATGGGTGTTTTTTGGGGGCGTAAGCGGTGGAAGGAGCGCGACGTTGGAAGTGGGGGGGGACTCACACGCATCCATCATACGTATCAGCACCTTACTTGCCATCGCTCGGACGTTCATTCCCTGGGCACTGTTCGGTTTCGTACATGTCTCTTTTTGCCAGAAGACTCAGGATGCTCCTCGATGGTTCTCGCCGAGAAAGATACAGACATCCGAGGGACGCCAACAGCATGCTGGTACAAAACTTCAGCGACATCACACCACAAGGATGCAACACGAACATAAGACATAACGCGCAGCAGAAACACATATCAAGAACATGCCAGCACACAACGATCTCTCACAAAGAGTTTAATCAGCAAGCCTGCAACAATGACACGCATGAACAACACGCGGTCGTAGCAGGCACCAGGAGACCAACACAAACGACATGCACTAATACCACATACCATCAACATGATAATGACGAGTTGGCACTTGCAGTCAACATTGTAACGTACATCTACAGATGATAGCCAACGCGGGCACCAGACAATGTGTGTCAGCATGTTGCGTGGTTTAATATATGTGGTGCAGTCCGTGGCACACTGTACGCGACGACAGCTACGTGGTGCACTAGATGTGGTGTACGCTATTTGGTAACCTCTATGTGGAGGAGTAAATGTAGGGTAAACTAGTTATGTACCGCAACATATGTGGTGTAAGCTAGAACTTGTCAGCTCAATCATCCCACCTACCCACCCGCAGCTCGGTTTGAACAACCCATGAGGCGGCGATTGCGATGCCTGCTTTGCGCTGGGGCCGCGGTAGCGCGCGCAGGCTCGCGCGCAGAGCGGCCAACTCGTCTGGCGCGACGGGCAAGCCAAGGTGGCTCTGACCCTTGCGATTCCCCAACGCGTCCCGCAAGGCGCGCTGACGCGCAAACACCCAGGTGCGAATCGGTGACTCGGGCGGGCGCAGTATCATGGCGACGTCGACAATGGGACACACGATGATGACAACAACGACCTCGGCGACGATAACGGCAATGACGATGGTACGGCCAGTGACGGTGCCGATACTGGTCACGCCGATAACGATGATGGTGTCTACGCGTCGGTGATGACAATTGCGGAAGGATGTCGGCATGCGTGCGCGGCCGACGGGCGCGAGTGGCCCGCTGCCGTGGCCTTGTTTAACAGAATCGTGCCCACCCACCCCAACATGGGGGACAAGGGCGTTGTAATGATTTCGACATGCGCGCGCGAGGGGGCCGTATGGTCACATTCAGAGGGTGTTGAAAAGCGAGGGTTCCCTCAGAAACTTAACCCCCCAACAATCTTCGAAATCAGCGACCGGCTCGCAGATCGCAATTCCCAGAGGAATGACGAGGTATCCTGGTGGTCAGCGTGAGATGTCATTCCGCTGGCCCCCACGGCAGGCCCCGAACATGGCGCCAATTTCACATATCGCAACCCCACACGGGTGGCAACGTTTCACCTGAATCTGGGCAAGACGTCATCCCGTTGCCCCCCCCCCCTACCACCCAGCAACCCTCGAAACTGGCGACCGTTTCGCAGATCGCAGCACCATAGGGATGGCGAGGTCTCATCTGAGTTTGGGTAAGGCGCCACTTCGCTGCCCCCCCCCCAGCAGCCCTCGAAAACGGCAACCGTTTCGCACATCGCAGCCCCACTGGGATGGCGAGGTCCCCTGGTGGTCTGGGTAAGACGTCACTCCGCGGGACCCCCCAGCAGCCCTCGAACGTGGCAACCGTTTCGCAGCTCGCAGCCCCACAGGTATGGCGAGATCTCCTGGCGGTCTACCCCGCTGGGCCCCCCAACAACCCTCGAAAGTAGCGACAGTTTCACAGATCGAAGCCCCATAGGAATGGCGAGGTCTCTCCTGGTGGTCTGGGTAAGACGTCACCCCGCTGCACCCCCCAACAACCCTCGAAAATGGCGACAGCTTCGCAAACAACAGCCCCACAGGGATGGCGAGGTCTCATGTGAGTCGGGGTAAGACGTCGCCCCGCTGGGACCACCAGAAGCCCTCGAAACTGGCGGCCGTTTCGCAGGATCGTAGCCCCCCCCCAGGGGTGGCCAGGTAGGAGGCAAGCTGGCACGCAGGAAGGAACGCGGTGAGAGGCAGGAGAGACGAGGAGAGGAGGAGGGAGGCGAGAAGGAGAAGACGCGCGGGTAGTGTTCTATTCAAAACGAGTACCCAACGCAGGAGGGTTGGAACAACTGCCTCCAAGGTGCCCCCGAGACGCCTCCCATGAGACCGCATCAGCCATCCGAGTGGCCTCAGAGCCGCAACCCGAGCGCGGTGGCGGGATGTGCCGAAGGCCATTCGATAATCATCCGTCTGGTGTTTTGACAGATGAGCCCTGTCTGTGTACGCGGGCTCTCGCCCTATTCCCCATGCGTGAACGGCGAATACAGAGCATGTCAGCCAAGATGCCCCGAACAGGCCCCCCAAGAGGCCCCCGTGAAACCCTCAAAGAGCTCCAAGAAACCCCCAGAAGGCGCATCAGGAGCAACACGCAACAGCCGCCAGTTCCCAAAGGGGTCGGCGGTGCGGTGTAATCCCAATACTCTAGGGCTCCCTTAGAAAGAGCACACCCGCGAACCTTTTATTTGGGAAAAGCAATGTTGCGAAACCGCGTTTGTTTTATATGTTTCAGGGCCCTCGGTTATTGAAATCCGTATGGAATATGAGGTTACCGACGGACCTCGGCATGCGCACGCCACGATGCGCGCGCACTTAGTCACATGTTGGTGTTTGTTTGGGAGGAAATGTCATGTTCTGATCACGAGATGCGCATGCATTGTGTTTGGTGGACAAGGACGAACACATGCGATTATGACTTGGCTGTGGTGGTATGTTTTTAAGATCTGTATGCGCACATGTATAATACACGACGGCGCACAATCATATGATCGAGATTCAGTGGGGGTGCAGATCACAAATCCTATCTGGCGAAGAAAATTCACTCAGCCGAAGTTGAAGTTGACGATTCCACTGCTCGCGCAATCTTCCAACCCACACACACGCACCTTAGTCTGCAAAACCCATGCAACGGCGATTGCGATGACTGTTTGGCTCTGGCGGCGGCAAGGGTAGCGCGCACAGGCTCGCGCGCAAACGGCCAACTAGTCTGGCGCGACGGGCGAGGCCACGGTGGCGCTGACCGCTGGGAGCTTCCCAGCGCGTCTCGCAAGCCGCGCTCGCGCGCGGGCACTTCAGTGCGAGTCGGTAACTCGGGCAGGCGCGATACCATGGCGACGTCGACAACGGCAGACACGGTGATGATTGCAGCGATGCTGGTAACGACGATGAAGATGACGACGGCAAGGCCAATAGCGGCGCCGATGGCGATCACGCCGATGACGATGATGGTGTCCACACGTCGGTGATGACGGTTGTGGAGAGATTTCGGCAGGCGAGCGCGGCCGGCGGGCGCGAGCGGCCCGCATGGTTTTGCGTTGAAAACGATCGTGCCTCACCAGCACGCGCGCAAGGGCGTCCGAATGACTTCGAGATGCGCGCGCGAGAGGCCTGTTCGATCGCAGGTGGTGAAAATCTTGAGCGCCGAAGGTATACTTCAGAATTCATCAGAACACGCACGCAGACTTTTTCAAGCACAGAACATGTTGCGACACCATGCGTTGTTATATCTTGAGGGGCGCTCGATTTGAAATCCTCACGAACCGAAGTTTTTGAAACATTTCGGCATGCGCGCGCGACGACACTCGCGTGCGAACTGAGTCACACTATGTTGCAAGGCATGTTTGGAAACTCTTGCGTTTTGATAAACGAATGCGCGCGCATGTAATCATTTGACTGGAGTAGGGGGTTCGGTACTGTCTGGGCTGGGATGGCATGAATTCTAAATTGGAATGTACCATAGGGGCAAGATCATATGTACATTGCACATCTCGAGGCCACACCGCTAACAGGGGGGCGGTAGATCCGAATTCCCCTCTGGGAAGGAGGATATGTGTGGTGTAAACTAGGTGGTGAATGCAAACCAATGAACACCAATGTAAAGCAGTGCGCTGCAACACATAAAGCCATGCAAATCGACGTAACACAATGCGACGTAACGCGGAGCAGCGCAAAGCAACGCAAAGCCATGCAAAGCGAAGCAGAGCACAGAGCAATGCCAAGCACTGCGAAGCAACGCCAAGCGATGCAAAGCAATGCACATCGGGCGGCGACGAGGCGACGGGCGGACACGAGGCGGCGGCATGGCGGCCACAGTGGCCCGCAGGCCCAGGCGAAGGGCGGCGACGGGATGGCGACGGCGACGGCATGGCGGCCAGAGCGACCCACAGGCCCAGACGACGGTCGGCGACGAGGCTGCATCGGGGCGGCGACGGCGACGACACAGCCGCCAGACCGACCCCCAGGCCGAGACGACGCGCGGCGACGAGGCGGCGACGGGGCGGCGACGGCGACTGCATACCCACCAGACCGACCCTCACGCCCAGTTGCTTATCCCAGAAGTAAGAAGCCCCAAGTGTAAACACTATTTGGAGAACAAACAGCAGCATAACTTACACCAATCTACAATGCTTCTGAGGTGCTAGCGTATCGCACGAACGATCAAGCTCGCAGACCACGCGTACAGAGCATGTGCAAACACCCTGCATCAGCAGCAATGCCGCATATCACAGAAGTGCAGTGGCAAGGGATCGACTTCGAAGCCATGTGCAGCACCTCGCACCTCCCTGGTGGGGATCGTCCGAAACAGAGTGATTGCTGGTTCTATGATCTGATTGTTCCCTTTGTGCAACTGAAGCCGCGCCCTTCATGTTGCAACTTTCGCCCAACTCCCCAACCTCGCAACCCCCACGATGCGCCGCGCACTCCCGCTCGAGTCGAGAAGATCAGATGAGATCCGCGACGTTCATGGGCATCTCGTCGATCTGTGTGGAATAGAACTGCTCGATATCTCGGAGGATCCTGCAGGCACCAGCGGCGCGCACGAGGGGGCAGGGAGATGCGGCCTTCTGAGGCGACCCACCTTGGAAGGCGTGGGGCGTAGGGTGGGGGGCCTGGGGCAAGGGATGTGCCCACAATGCTTCCGACCATAGAGGCTTCATTATCTGACGGGGGCGGCGGTGATATCTATGGCCAATCCACGATTGGAGTTCCGCCGGCTTCCAGATCCTGGATTCCTTAAACAATGATTTCTTGTCCAATGCCCTCGCCGCGCTCCAGAGGTCTCTGGAGCCTCAGACAGGTCAACGATTGAACACATCAGAGCTCGAACCATGACTCGGACCCTTAGTTTTCACATGGGCAAGTAGGGTCTCTCGCCGATATGTGTGGGCGTGGCACAGGGCGAGCCCTGGCTTGGGCGAGGACCCGGGAGGCACGATCCCTGAGCGAGCATGACCAAGGCAATGACGTACCCGTCTCTGGCCGTCCATGCGGCCTCGAAGGAAGAAGAAGGAATGGTTCAGGGCAAGCCTCTGGTCTTCCTCCTCCACCTGCCCCCCCCCCCTCCTCGTAAACAGTACTCCTCCCAGTGCCTTCGCGCCCCCTCCTCCAAAATTCAAGTCTTCCCTCCTGCCTCATCTGTCCGTTCCTCCTTCTGCCCAGTTTGAGCGGGAGCCGACCGCTCCGGCATTCCTAGAGGGCCTTTTTCACGAATCTTTCTTAGATCCAAGAAACGGCTTCAGAACAGACAACACGTTCTTACATAAAGCAGGGCTGTCTCCGCCAGTGAGGACATTCGGACCTTACTTGGTGGGCGTAAGAGCGAGTCAGGACACTTCGCCACTATATGAACCATCCTGCCGTCCTCTCCTCATCACCCTACCTCATAATCCGCCTGCTCTCTCTCTCTCTCTATCTCTCGCTCTCTCTCTCTCTCTCTCTCTCCTACATCCTCTTCCTCCCCGTCCTCTCTGCTGACCCTCCTCCTCCTCTTCCCCTTCCTCTTGCTCATTCTACACCCCTCCTCTCCAGAAATGCCCGAAGGCTACCGGATACAGAAAAACGCCGCCGAATCGATGTACAGACCAGATGAGACCGCGGGCATGGACGTACAAGTACGTATGCTGATATACATATATGTATGTGTGCACGTCGGTGGTTGTCCCTACGTCCAAGTACGTTAGCCCGCGTGGACCCCAAACAATGTCTGTCTAGCTGCATGGGTGGTGCAATCTACAGGGTGCGATATTTGTTGTGCAAGCGATATGGTGCAATCTATGTTGTTCCATTTGGGTTGCGCAATCTAGATGGTGAAATACGTAGTGCCATCTAAGTGGTGCACTTGGTTTTTACAAACGAGTTGACAAACTCCTTGCCCTTGGAAACATCCCACCCACTCACCCGCAAGTTGGCTTGCAAAACCCATGCGGCGGCAACTGCGATGAGTGCTTAGCGTTGGCTGGTGCATTTCTGCGTCCGCGCTGGCCCGCGCATCCTCGCGCGCAGCGGCCAACTAGTTTGCTAGTTTGGCGAGACCGACGCGGCCGCGGCGGCGCTGACCGCTGGGCATTTCCCGGCGGGCACTTCAGTGCGAGTCGGTGACTTGGGCGGGCGCGGTATCATGGCGACCCCGACGGCGGTAGACACGAATAACGATGATGTTGGCGATGGTGGCCATCACGACGGCAAGGCCAATGACAGCCTCGGTGCTGACCACGCCCGCCGATAGCGATGACGATGTCGTCTCGTCGGCGATGAAAATTTTCGAACGAGCCCGACATGCGCACGAAGCCGACGCGCGCGGGTGGCCTGCGTGGTATTTTTCGACACGCACCGTGCCCACCCATCACGCGCGCAAGGGCGTTCGGATGAATTCGACATGCGGCGCGCGAGGCGAATTTGGCACAAAGTGGTGAAAGTACTGGAAAACCTAAGGTTTCTTCAAGACCCGCAAAGACGCGAGCAAAGGTTTTTTTTCTTGGGCAGGAAACTGATGTTGCAAAACCATGTTTTTTGTTGTTTCCCCATATATGTTCGGGACACTCGATTTTGAAATCCTTACGGCACCGACAGTTTGTGAAGGAGTTCGGCATGCGCGCGCGACTGCGGCGCGCGCGTGCGCACGTCGTCCTTTTTTTGCTGGTGCAAGGGGTTCGTGCGACAACACGCGCGCAAACCGAGCGATTTCGACATGCGCGCGCGAGAGGCCAGGCTGGTAGCAGTTTATGAAAATGTTGAATAGTTGACGGTTTTCGTAAGAATTCGCAAGAGCGCGGGCACAGGCTTTGTTTGAAAACCCTTTGTTCCCTTGTTGCGAAACAAGAAGTTTTATGTGCTTGCCCGACTGTCACTGTTGAAATCCTTACGGAATTCTCGATTGTTAAAAGATTTCGGCATGTGCGCGCGACGACGCGCGCGTGCGCATCTGGCCCAATTTCTGTTGCAAGGGGTTCCTGGACACTTCCAATTCGTGATGGAGGAATGCGCGCGCCTAGCTTTTGTCGCAGAAGATGGCGGGGGGGTCGATACTGGCTGGGTTGGGATGGTATGCATCCATACATAAAGCGGACAATAATGCTGTAATTTACGTATCGTGACGTGGGACCGTTAACTCCGGCCCCGGGAAGGAAGTCCAATTTACTATTCTTCTACAAAGGAGAACCTCTGTGGTGCAATTAATTTGTGCAAACGAGCTGACGCATTCCATGCCCTTGCATTTTTGCGGCCGCGCTAGCCCGCGCATGCTCGCGAGCACAATGGTCTAGTTTGGCGCGACCGACGCGGCCGCGGTGGCGGTGACCGCTGGGCACTTCCAAGCGGGAACTTCGATGCGAGTCGGTGACTTGGGCGGGCGCGGTATCATGGCGACGCCGACAACGGTAGACACGATTATGAAAGTAGCGATGATGGTGACGATGGTGGCGATGACGACGGCAAAGCTAATGACGGCGACGATGTTGGTCACGCCCACCGATAACGATGACGATGTCCTCGCGTCGGCGATGAAGGTTTTCGAAGGAGTTCGACATGCGCGCGGTCGACGCGGGCGAGTGGCCCGCGTGGTATTATGTGACTCGGGTCGTGCCCGCTGAATTGAATTCGGCATGCGGCGCAACAAAAGCCCTGTTGGCACAATGTCCAGAACATGGGGGGGCTTGAGAACTGATGTTGCAAAGCCATGCGCTTTTTTTCGTGACACACGATTTTGAAATCCTCGCAGCACAAACAATAGTGTTAAAGTTTTCGGCATGCGAACGCGACGACGCGCGCGCGGGCGTTTCGTCCCGTTTTTTGTTTTCCTTTTTTTTGTGCATGGGATCCTTGCAACAGCACGCACGAGGGAGTTCGAACGATTTCGACACGCGGGCGCGACAAGCCAATTTGGAAGCATTCTATGAAAAAAAAGGTTCACAACCTATGGGCTTGCTAAGAATTCGCATGAACGCGAGCGCAGCTTAGGTTTGAAAATTATGGTTGCGAAACCATGTGTTTATGTGTTTTTGTGACACTCGATTCTGCAAATCCTCACGAAACGCTGGGCTTTGAAGGAGTTTGGCCTTCGCGCGCGACGACGCGCGCGCGTGCGCACGTCGTCCCATTTGTTGCTAGGGATTCTTGAGCACCTGTGACTTTCGATACAACATGTGCGCGCGTAGCATTTGTTGTAGAAGATGGCAGGCGAGGGGGGTCGGTACTGGCTGGGCTGGGATCGTATGGGCCCGTATTCTAAATGGACAGGGGGTCATAACGATATGTAACTTACATATCGCGAATGGGGACCGTTGACCCCAGCCTCGGGACGGGGGGGGTGAATCTATCAAGCTCTAAGAGAGGAGACTCTATGATGTGGGCTTGAGTTTAACAGATGATTTGACACATACCATGCTCTTGCAAACATCCCACCCACCAGCCCGCAACTTGGTTTGCAACCACTTAAGACCGACCACAACGACACCGACGACGACGACGTCGACGACACCGACGACGACGACGCCGACGACGACGACGCCGACGACGACGACGACGACTCCGACGCCGACGACGACGACGTCGCCAACGAAGACGACGACGACGAGGGAGGAGGGAGGACGACGACGACGACAACGACGACAACGACGGGGGAGGAGGGAGGACGGCGACGACGCGAACAACGAAGAAGGCGGAAGGACGGCGACGCCGACGACGACAACGACGAGGGAGGAGGAAAGACGACGACGACGACAACGACGACGACAACGACGACGACGGCGACGAAATAGGAGGGACGACGACGAGACGCCGACGACGGACGACGACGACGAGGGAAAAGGAGGAAGGACGACCACGGCGACAACGACGACGGAAACGACCACGACGCCAAAGAGGACGACGACGACGAACACGAGGAAAGACAGAGGACGACGTAGGCGACGACGACGACGACGACGTGTGAGGAGGGAGAACCCACTTGCGGAACTCGAAGTTGTCAACTCCACTGCTCGCGCAATCACCCCACCCAAACACCCGCAACTTTGTTTGCAAAGCCCATGCGGGAGCGATTGCGATGCCAGCTGGGTATTGGCTGGTGCATCTCTGCGGCCACGCTAGCCCGCGCATGCTCGCGCGCGCAGTTGCCAGCTAGTTTGGCGCGACCGACGCGAAAGCGGTGGGGCCGACCGCTCGGCGCACCCCAACGGGCACTTCAGTGCGAGTCGGCGATTTGGGCGGGCGCGGTATCATGGCAACGGCGACCACGGTAGACACGATGATGAGAGTAGCAATGCTGGCGACGATGCTGACAGCGACGACGGGACAGCCAGTGACGGCACCGATGCCAATCACGCCGACGACGATGACGGCGTCTTCGCGGTGGGTACCAAATGGCACTTGGCAGCGACAGCGACGCCGACGACGACAACGACGAGGGAGGAGGGAAGACGACAACGACGACGACGACGACGACGGCGACGAAATAGGAGGGACGACGACCAGACGCCGACGACGGACGACGACGACGACGAGGGAAGAGGAGGAAGGACGACCACGGCGACAACGACGACGGAAACGACCACGACGCCAAAGAGGACGACGACGACGAACACGAGGAAAGGCAGAGGACGACGTAGGCGACGACGACGACGACGACAACGCGGGGGCAGGGAGGACGGCGACGACGACGACGACGACGCAAGAGCGCGCGCGCACGCTTTTGTTGAACATCCGTGTTGCGAAGACTTGTGTTTTTGTATGTTTTTTGGACACACGATTTTGAAATCCTTCCGAAACAGCTGGGTTTTGAAAGATTTCTGCATACGCGCGCGACGACGCGCGCGTCTGCACTTCGTCCCATTTTTTGCAGAGGATTCCCGCGACGGCACACGCGCAAGGGCGTTCGACAGATTTCGACATGTGCGCGCGAAGCCCGTTTGGTAGCATTTTGTGAACATCTTGAAAAACCAATGGTTTTCTTAAGATTTCGCACGAGCTCGCGCGTAAGCTTTTTTAGCAAATCAGTGTTGCGAACCCCTGTGTATTTGTATGGTTTCTTTTTGGAAGCTCGATTGCGAAATCCTTCCGACACCGAAGGTTTTTGAAGGATTTCGGCATGCGCGCGCGACGACGCGCGCGTGTGCACTTCGCCCAATGCGTTGCAAGGGATTCGGGAAAAAACTGCTATGTTAGAACAAAAGTCCCCGCGTATTGTTTTTTTACAAGGGAACCTCAGGGGGACCGATCCCGGCCCCCTTGGGATAATATAAACTCAGATTTAGGATGGACATGTGGTCAGAATCATTTACGATTTTCATACCCGAAAGGGGGACCGATAACGCCGGGGGGGGTAGAGTCTATTCTCTTTTTAGAAAGGAGGATATATGTATATATGATGCAACCAATGTTGTGCCACTTACGTGTCGCAATCTAGTTTGCACACTCTGCGCTGTGCTACCTGTGCGATGCAACCCATGTGGTGCAATCCGCGCGGTGCAGAATATGTTGTGCTACCCATGTGGTGCAATCGGACGGGGCGGCTACGGCGACTACATAGCCGCCAAACCGACCTTCAGGCCCAGACGACGGGCGGCGACGAGGCGGCGACGGCGGCCACATAGGTGCCAGACCACCCTTCAGGGCCAGTTCCTTAAAGCATAGAAATCCTAAGTGCAGACACGCTGTGGGAATACGTACATACATACATACACACATACATACATACATATACAGATGCGCATGCGCACTCATGTCGCTAACACGTCCACCACCATGCTCCTGGGAAGTTGGGGTGTGCTTGAGCTCCTGTCTGCTGTCTGGTAAGGCTTCTGCAATACATCTGAAGCAGCCCACCACCCCCCAGTGGCGCAACCGTCCTCCAGAAGACCCCACCCCATTGGCTCCACTGCCCGAAGCGAGAAGCGAGGCAATCGCTTGAGTGGCCGGCCCATGGGGCCCTCGTCTTTAAAGGGGGTGAGAGGGGGTTCGAGGTGAACGCCTGCAAAGGCTTGGGATAAGGAGACTCTGGACGGGTCGGTGTTTCGGAGCATCTCTGATGTATCCCGGGTTTCCTGTGGTCCTCTTCCATACCTTCCCCATATAAACAACAACATCCTGTCGCACCTTCAAACTAGTCGGTAGGGCGGCCCGTGCCTTTTCGCCTGAGACATCCTAACCATATACCATCATGAAGCTTGATCTCAGCAAAAGCTTCAAGGATGGAGGGCAGGCCAGTTTCAAAACGTGGCTCTCGCATTAGCGTCGCGCGCATTCGACTGAAAATATCGCAATCGCTTTAATGATAGACGGCTGGTCGTTAACAAAAGGCTCCTCTCGCCTTAGCGACCGCACATTCGTAAAGTCTGCAGCAGCATCGAGGATGGGCGGCGGGTCCTTTTAAACATGTTGCTCTCGCCTTAGTGCTGCGCGCATTCGTTTTCAAACATTGCTGCAGCTTCAAGGATAGAGGGTGAATGGTTTTCAAAATGTGGCTCTCGCGTTAGCGCCGTGCGCATTCGTCTTCCAAAGTTTGCAACACTTTGAAAGAACCATGGAATGGTGTTCTGGCGCGGTTGAGGAATGTCCCGAAGCAACAGTCACGTTGATTCGCTGTGTTGACGTCACCAAATCAATGGGTTGGCAAGGTTTAGGAGTGTCAGGACGCCACAGTTGCGTTGATTCGCGGCATTGGAATCCCAAGAAACATGTGTTGGCGCGATTGAGGATCGTCAGGCGATTGTCTTCCAATGGATCACTCCGCGCAATTAAAATAAATTATTGTAGGGACCTTTGCAGAAGAAGCTCGGAAGGAAGGTTACGGCAACAACATGGATCAATCTCCTCCTCCTCGTCCTCCCCCTGCCTCCTGCTGCTCCTCCCCTTCCGGCCGCTTCCCTATCCTCTTCCTCCCCCTCTTCCTCATCCTCCTCCCCCTCCAGCTAGCACTGTGCTTTCGATCGAGTGACTGGCAAGTCGCGAGTCGCTCACTCCGTCCCCTCGGTGCCCGCCTCGAATGGGCTTTGTGGAACGCAGTTCCAACAAATAGGGGCTGCACGCCCTCGGCAGTGGCTCCCAGTGTGGAACCCTCTTGCGGATCTCCGATCCGATCCAATTCCCCTCCACCCCCTTTGGCCCTGGCCGCTCCGGATGTCGTCGTTCTTCACGAAGTTGATCGCCACGCCCTTCCGCCCGAAGCGACCTCTCGGCGGCGCGGCTTCTGGCGGGGCGCAACGGCGGCCCTCTGCGGCGGGGTCGGCCTCAGCGCGGCCGCGGCGGCAGCCCCACCCCTCGGCGGATCCGGCGGCCTGGGCACTGCGCGAGGGGGCGAGGGGGCGCCGTGGGGGGGGGGGGGGGGGCAAGAGGGGGAAGGGCGACGGCAGGGAAGAGGGGGGGGCGGAGGGGTAGGGCGGGAAGAAGGGCCCGGAGAGCGGGAGAGTGCGAGAAGGAAGAGGCGGATGATGATGATGATGATGATGATGATGATGATGATGATGATGATGATGATGATGATGATGATGAGGAGGAGGAGGAGGAGGAGGAGGAGGAGGAGGAGGAGGAGGAGGAGCGCCCTTCTCGAAAGACAGCGTAAAACCTGAATGTGCACTGTCCTGCGCGCTAGCCAATATCAGATGGGGACCCAGAAAAGCTCATTCGCACATAACCTGGGGAGAGTAAAGGGAACCGAACGGTCATTCACAGTCCCTGGGCGCGTGGCTGAGCTGAAGTTCTGCGTTGCGGATTGCTATTGCGTTGTTGCTGTCTTGTTGACGCTGTCCTTTCAAAAGCATAAATTTGGTTGATACCCCCCCAGGGCCAATTGCGGCTTTTCATAGAGAGGGGAATCTTGAGGCTCCGACTGGGCCCCTGGGCCCGATGCGGAAGTCTCCATGCGTGCCCGTGCGTGAATTAATTTTACCCTGTGGCGACTGAGCGCCCCCTGGCGGCTCTCCCTATGAGCGCCCAAGTGCCTTTTCCGGATATATCGAGATGAGATTGGGACTGTGAAGCGGGAGGGGTCGGGGGTGCCTAGACCAGCGTTTCGTCGGAGACACGGTCTGGCGTCTCCCCGTTGGGGCGTACACGTGCAATGCCTATTGCGTCGCGGTGATTCCGAGGCTCGGAATAAAGAGCGGCCCAGGGCACCAAAACTAGCGAACAGCTCGAGGCATCCCCGTAATCTAAGCTCGAATGGGCAAATATAACACAACTTGGCGGTCCCTCCTTGGAATAGCGCGAAACTTCACATGTCCTACACTCTGGCGGTTCTTTTTGGGGTGCTCACATTGTATCCGTGATGGGCCGATGTGATCACGAGGCTCTGAATAGACATGCGTGACTGGAAGAAGGACGCGTTGCAACACACAGGGATATGGAGAGGATAGGACGGAGCGTTCAATACGCAACGCAGACGTCTCCTCTGCCACTCGTGCGAGCGGCACCCTCCAAGCCACAGCTTTACAACACGGGCAAGCACAAAGAGGGGACATACATATATCTATATATATGTATACACATATATATAAAAAAAGAGAGAGCGAGAGAACGGGCAACAACAAAAAAACGATATATGGAAAGAGAGGGAAAACAAAGTAACCCCGGGAGCCCCTGAGCCGGGTTACGGGGACAGCGGGCCAAATTTCGTGGGCTTGAACGTGCCCGAATCGGTCTGCCTCTCTGGCCCCCCATCATCATTCCTGCTTTCTCCTCCTCTCTCCGTCATTCCTTCCTCCTTCATCCTGCCTCCTCCATCCTTCCTCCTCCTCCTCCTCCTTTTCTCCTCCTCCTGTTCCTCCTCCAAGTTCCCACTCCTTCCTCCTCCTCCTCCTCCTCCTCCTCCTCCTCCTCTTAATTCTCGTCCTCAATCTTGACCTGCACCTCCTCTTCCTGCTTTCCGATCCTTGTCCTCCTGCCTCTCCTGCTCCCCGCTCCACCCCTCTCGCCACCCTCTGCCTGGCCTGCTCCCCGCTTCTCCCCGCCTCCACCTCGTCCGCCAAGCTGGGAACTGGCTGTGTGTTTTTTTGCGGGGGCACGATCGGCCTGGGAACTCGTTGGGGCATTGGGGGAAGGCCGTCGGACCGGAACGGCCAATGCGGTGGATGTAGAGTTCGCGATTGTTCGGCAAGTCGTAGCAAATCACCAAGGACACCTGCCGGTGGAAGGCGAGGCGGAGGACAAGTCGGAAGAAAGGGGAGGAGGAGGAGGAGGAGAAGGAGGAGAACGTGAAAGAGCTTGACCAATGCAACAACTACTTTAGCACAAGGGCTGGGCAACCCGTAAGAGAAGCGCCTGAGAGTACTTGCGTTATGAACCGCGAGTTCGGTCTTACTCTAATAGCGGAGGAGGAAGGGCAGAATGAAGTGCACAAAACAATGTTGGCGCTAGGTCGCTCCCAGGGGCTGGACTGGGTCGAAGCCGCAGGTCTGCCTGGGAGGTGAGACCACACACGATCGCATTGGAATCGTTTGCGGCCGAGACGGTTGCAATGCCATGGCGTATGGCTTCATGGTTGCAACGCAAGGGCTTGCCACTGCTTGGCTGCAGCGCAATCGTTTCTGCAGCGCGTATGCCCTGTGACTTGTGGCACGCCGTTTGGCCAGTCCGGCGCCGCAGCTCTGCCAGCCACCAGATTGGCCAGAAGCACGTTTGCAGCGCTGCCAGCGTGCCGAGAGACACATGACATCTGTTCGTGATGTGCGCCATGCGAGCGCGTGCGTTCCATTCTTGCGAGTTGGCGAACCATCGACCCAACGTCTTCACATGCAACACCTCTGCCCGCGGGAGCACCGTGCCGTGTCCCGATCGGTTGCGCTGCCACCAAGAAGGTATGGAAATCACTGCCGTGCGTTGTGAAAATCATTGCGCTGCTGGGCCGTCCAATTGGCTCTCGACCTTTTGCTAAAAACAATTCGGCGCTTCCCAGAAAGAGGAAGGGGAGGAGCAGGAGTGGGAGGAGAAGGCGGAAGAAGAAGAGCAAGGAGGAGGGATCCGTGGCCATTTTGGCTCAAGCCGTTTTGGCTCAGGCTGTCTGTGCTCTACCACTCTGGGTGCCAGCGCCATGGCGCGGCGACGCCCAGGCGCGGTGCCATGGCCATGGCGCTGGCGAGGCCATGCCAGCACGCCTCTGCCATTGCCATCATCAGCATGAGAGACAAAATTACCAACTTCTACAGCAATGCTATGGGGTGCTGCCAGACTGCGAGGCGGCCCACTGCAGAACCGGCACCAACAGCGCGTTCTCCGCGGCATGGAGATCGCAGCGTTCGGCCCAGCAATAGCCCGACGCATGGCCCGACGCAGGAGGACCAGCCCTTGCGAAGCCGCCCTGAAGAACCACGCCGATGCGAAGAAAGGCAACCCCACCACGGAGACCAAGTACATCGCGGTCCAGATCCCCATGCCGGCGGGCGCAACGAGCACGGCAACACTTTCTATGGAAGGATGCGCGTGTGCGGCAGCACTCTTGCCTTCGACGCCCCGAACGTCGACTTCGGCAACGACCCGCGCCACCGCGAACTGCCGCCGCTGCTCCCCAGGTGCCACTGCAATACCCCCGATTACGCCTGCCACCAATCTACCCAGCCGGCCCTGCAGGGTGGTCGTTCTTCGTGCGGCTTGCTACATGTTGATAGCCATAACCACGAATGCCTGGCAGGACCTGGGCCTTGCGGGAGGCTTCGGCTCGGGCTCTAGTTGACTGTCGCATGTGCTTCAGCAGGGCGTGCTAGAGGCAGCAGTCATGGTCAGGGAGCCCCGAACACAACAGTAAGCATACTTAGCTTTATTCGTGCTGTGGCCGGGATCTACCCACGAGCTGATGCTAGCCCATGAGAGGCCGCTTGCGCCCGAAATGTTAACCTCTGCGCGGCCGCCGAGCACCGAACTGTGACATACGGCCAGTTTTTCCGTCTCAGCGAGTGTCAACCTTGGCACCCTCACCTAACCTCAGCAGGAGCTCAGCGCATCCTGCGCAGCAAAGTCGACGAAAGACGGGGGATGGATTGGATGGTGGGCGTTGGAGGTCGGACGTGGTGAGTGCAATGCGGCAGCAGGCGTCCGCGGGATTCATTTTCCCCGGTCTGCGCCCGTCGCACTGTGATCATTTTCTCCCTCCTTCCTCTGGCATTCCTCTCTGTACATGTGGTCCTCCCTCCCTTCCTTCCCTCCCTCGCCAGGCTAGGGGCCAGGGCAACCGAGGCCATGCGGGCTGTGGCACCACCACCAGCCTTACCAGCCCCAGCAGCTAGACTGCTAGTCTCGACTGATCGCTCCGTCGCCCCTTCCACGGGAGGTGGCGTGAGCGCGAAGAAACCGCGCCTCGCGCCGAGCGATGCACCCGCGAAAGGCAAACCCAGCCTTGCGGGGCACCGCCCCTGCATACCCGCACCTGGGCGCCACCACGGAGGCGCCTGGAAGGCGCTACAGCACTTTGGGTCAAACGCCCGCGGCCTCCTTCCTCCTATCTGCCACTGTTCCTTGGCATTCTTCCTCGGCTCCACATCCCTCCCTCCCCTCCATCGGCGAGCCCCCGTGGCACTGGCACACCCCCCTGTGGGGGGGCCAGATCTATGGATTGGGGCGTGGGTTCTGTGGAGCAGGCTGGGGGGAGGAAAAACGGACCGCCACCTCGGCACCAGCCACGTCGGCATGGCCGTTTGAACAACTCCCC